TACCTACTAGGTCACTTCTGATTTGTAGTTCCGCGATGCCGTTTATATCGCGTTTTGTATATTTCAGCACACCAGTGCTTTTAACACTCCAAAAACATGGAGCACTGGCCCCAACACTCCCCCTCCTCTCTTCTAAGAAACGTCTGCAACCTATATCACAGGAATTCCCTTTCTGGAAACGTAAATGGAAGACAACACAGAAAGCAAACAATAGAGCGGGACACACTCGTAACCTTCAGGAAAGTCGACTAGCCCAACAAACTTGTGAATAGAAGGTGACCTACTATATTTGGGAAGATATGCCTAAAGTTCACCAAAATCAAGTCATCGCTTTCTGCACAAAGATTTGTTTGGGAACTTGGATGCTACTCAGCATGTAATTGGTCTATTCTTATTGATACACCACGACTGAGTTCCTAGCCTTTTGTCTTATAGGCGGCAAACGTTATCTTTCGATGTCAGCTTTTTCTGCAAAATATAATACACTGTATGTCGCACCGAATCGAATGATAACTGCTTCTATGTATCTGACACCCACTACAATGCGTGTTTCCGAATTTTCAACGCCTCTTAAAATAAAACCAGAATAAATATTGAGAATGATATGAGGTTGGCATTAACGAAAACTCGGCTGCAAATTTGTAAGCTTGATAAGGAGTTACAATTTTAATCATTACATAAGGTACGCCGTACGTTAATATTACTTTGAATTATAACTAACAAATCTATTTTCGATATGTTTTCATCTACTACATTTAAAAAGCCTATTTTTAATGTATGGAGTAGCAGGTCACTTTTCCTTTAAAAAATGGTGTTACTTAGCCTTATATAATTTGTTATAACATTATGTCATTTAATGTGTCTTTTATATCTTTTGATATTGTGTGTGTGTGTGTGCGCGCAATGTCTCTGGTCTCGACCTTCACTAACTTGTTCATTATCCAGTTATTCCTATGATGTTTTTAATGTATCATTATCATTATAGGAAATTATGATCTTCCAAAGATGTTCCTAATGTATGATGGACGACTATCATCGTTTTTTCTTATACACCCAAAGATTCTCCCAATTTATGATTCACTACTATCATCGTTTTTTTTCCCTAATACACTTAAAGAGACTCATCATGTATAATTTATGACTATCATCGTTGTTTCTTATGCACCTAAAGATCCTCCTAATGTAAGATGACGACCATCGTCGTTTTTTCTTATACATCAAAAGTTGCTCCTAATGTATGACTGAAGACTATCATCGTTTTTTCTTAATCATGAAAAGATTCTCCTAACGTATGATTGACGACTATCCTCGCTTTTTCTTATTCATCAAAAGTTGCTCATAATGCATGATTGACGACTATCCTCGTTTTTTCTTATACATCAAAAGTTGCTCCTAATGCATGATTGACGACTATCATCGTTTTTTCTTATACATCAAAAGTTGCTCCTAATGCATGATTGACGACTATCCTCGTTTTTTCTTATACATCAAAAGTTGCTCCTAATGCATGATTGACGACTATCATCGTTTTTTCTTAATCATGAAAAGATACCCCTAATGTATGATTGACGATTATCATGGTTTTCTTATACACTTAAATATGCTCCTGATTTATGATTGACGATCATCATGGTTTTTTTTTCTTATACACTTAGAGATGCTCCTAATGTATGATTGGCGACTATCGTCATTGTTTTAATACACCAAAAGATGCTCCTTAGGCCCGCATTAGGTCACTACTAGCGTTTCTATATTTTTGCGGATATGTCTAATGTATCATTATCATAACTATAGCACGGAAAGACATAAAACCAAGCGAAAAGAAGATCAACGAGCTTCACAGTATAACAGACACAAACGAAAATTGAACGAAGCAGCTACAGAGCCTTCATCAGCACACAGATAAACCAAACAGAACCACACGAATACACATACTCACTTAACTGACATATCCCGAAGCAGCCGCGTTGATATTTTGCCAGTTTCATAACTAGTGTTTCTATACCCTTAAAGTATACAATAACAGTAATCTGTGCCTTGCACCTAGTCTAGCTTGCATTACTGATTTAATAATCGACATCATAGCACACAGGGAATACCCACAGATGCTCCATCTCCCGCAGCAAATCACTTTCTTCGCCACATTTTGGTCCCAGCCGTTTGCCATGCAAATTTGTAGGGCTATGATTCAATAGCTGCATTGGCTGATCCAGACCAGAAGCACAACGTAGATTGTTTGCCCAGGAAAGTAGAGCTACGAGCAGGCTGAAGGACCAGCTGTCCCACCCCAACTCCCTCTGATAGCATGACATAAATTATTGAATCTACTTACTGGCAAGGCACAGGACACAACTTGTCACATGTATCGAAGCTCGCGGAGTGGTTGTTTGGCAGTCCTGTAACACAGCGCTCTGAAATACCACAGACTTTGTTGTATTCCAAATGGCGAATTTTCTGTCTATGACGCGATTATTACAAACTGCTCTAAAATATAACAATTCTGTTTTTTTAAAAACTCATTTATACTATCAAGGTACCATGTATTTGTTGATGTTTACTTAAATGATACATTAAAAAAATAATTCTTTGTTCCTCAATGAGATTTTGTCATGTTATCACAATCGAAGTCATTGCACATTGGGAATTCCCTGCGTGTTCAGTCCTCCGATTCTGCATCCACTTCAAGGTACTTCTACTATTATAAGTACTAACTATGAGAAGTTTGTTTAAGTGTCTCCAATCTTGGCCATAGACGTACTTCCCTATGCTTTACTCCCATGTCACGTAGTCGAGGGGTTACCCCGTTTTGGTTTCAGGGCTCCAATGTGGGGGAAAGTAAGAATAGACCCACTGCCTTCCCCCTAAAGCATGTCGTAAGAGTTGACTAATTGACGGAGTCCATATGCCTGAGCGACAAGGAACAACCAGCTGCACACAAACATGCAAGTGAAACAGATGTGTTCGCAAAACTCAGGCCCTGGCACAGAGCCAAAGTCCAAATGGACGAATAACCAGGACTTTCCGCTAGAGCTTACAGCTGGTAAACAAAGAAGAAGAAAACGAAGAAGAAGAAGAAGAAGAAGAAGAAGAAGAAGAAGAAGAAGAAGAAGAAGATCCAGGCGTTGTCTGTTTTAGTTAGTCGCGGATTCCTTACGCGACGTTGCAAACAAACCCCTGCACTTGTTTGCTAGTTCTGGTTTTACCAGGCAATTTTACGTTCAGTCGTTTACCATTGCTGACCAAGCGGTCGGCTGTTACACCGTTGTGGAAATCAACATAAGCGGTGTGCTGCTAAATCGCCTGCAGTTAAACGCAGACGGGTATTAAAAAAATTACAAACCGTCTTCTTAACCTCTGAGTCACGAAACATGGATTGTCTGCGTTGCCTTAATGATTTTCTTTAACCGCCTTCCGTATCAGTGTTTTCCACTGTGTGGATTGGATTGGCTTTTTACCCCACCAGGACATCACACAAGCGATAAACACCCGATGACACGAAGTGCCACCATGCGGATGAGGATCACCGTGGAGAGGTCCCAGAAACCGCGTTCAGACATTTGGCCATAATGATGACCTGCCTATATTGCGGCCCCTGGCAAAAGCCAGAGTGGGGCTTCAAATAACAAAAAATAACGTCCTAAGAAGGACGTAAGAAGGAAAAATGTAATTAAAACTGTGTGGTTTCAGGGGCGTTATTATAGGGGAGGGGAGGGGAGAGTAGACCCACTTCCATCTAACAAGCATCTAAACCAGTGGCTCTCAAACTTCCTAATGCGGCGACCCTTTAATACAGTTCCTCATGTTGTAGCGACGATAAACGATAAAATTATTTTCGCTGCTACTTTATAACTTCAGTGAATATGTGTTTGCCGATGGTCCTTGGCGACCTCCGTAAAAGGGTCGTTCCACCCACAGGTTGAGAAACGATGATCTAGACTAATTATGGGTTATCTTTGAAGTGGGAGAGCATCTGTCTGAAAGGCAAAAAACCAACAGTCGGCAAATAAATTAGCCAGATCTCCAACAAAACTAAAGTCCAGAAGTAGACAAACAACCAGAACTATTCGCCTGAGTTTACAGCCAGTAAACGCGAAGAAGATGAAGCAGAAGAGGTATCAATGTTTTCATGTTAACTCCTAATGCACAAATATGTATTTGAGGAAACAATTAGTTAAACAACCTTTTAAGGGGGTTTGTGTGGGGATGGTTAATGAATAACAGGTGAACTCTATCTTAAGCTACGGGTCGATAATAATACTGCACAATTATGCTTTGTTTGAGGTTTGAGGTTTTGAACAACGGATCAACTTCATGGCACACGGGAGTAGCCCATAAGTTCTTCGTTTTTCTTCTAACTCAAAACTAAGTCCGAAGAAGCTCAGCACAGTACACAGGCTCAGTAGCACCGGCGAGGATCCTGAAATACTTTTGGTAGATTTTTAGCTCCAAATTGTGTCCGGGCAGCGCCGTTAGGCTACTCTTTTCGATTTCCAACTGTCAAGGGATTTTTTACGTGCGCAGCAATGTACACGGGCGCCCAGAGACGTCCAGAGACCAGATGATAATATTAGAAGTCCACGTGAAAAAATCACAGCCCTTATCGGGGATTGAACCCAGAACCTCTAGCACTCGAGGCTGACAATATGTCTCGAAACCACACACCCCCGTACGCTTTGTTTATGTCAGTTAATTCTCCCCTAATGCAATAGGTCATATTGCCGAACTATCTGGTCAGACCCAGGTGCATCATTCTCTCCAACCCATAATAATCTAGTTTCCCGTCTGACTTCGTTACGTGTTCCCAAAGGGCTCTGACCACATCTGTATTGTAATGTATCAATTCACCACCCAGCGGTGCAGATCCATCCAGTCTGTCAACCTGCTCATTCCCCACCACGCTGACATGGCCTGGAGAAAAGAACCAAAGTATGCTCACTACCCTAACCTCAAGATTCTAACTAGGAAACTTCTATCACTAGCGACTGTTATAAAATGCTTACCAATATTTATGTCGGTCATGTTGCAGACATTCATGTCCTCAGTGACATAGTAGAACGGGACTGCACAATTACAGAACTGGATGCTCATGTCCTGGTAGCAGGACTTCAGGCAGGACAGTTTGCTGTATTCAGTGTTGTAGCAGGTATTGTAGTAGTCAGTAGTTTTTTCCCTGTCTCCACAGACGCCGTGAGGAGGTGGTAGCCTTGTATAGGAGACCTGGCGAACGTAGGTTTTTATGTGCGTATATACATTACAAATAAATGTTGATATGGGTAAATATATATAAATACTTCTATTCTACGGCCTGGTCCTTTCCCCCACTGAATACGCTCTGGCCATCATCACTGTCAGTGCTACCCAGATTGAACGACTCGAAAAGGTGCAAAATGAAGCCATGCGCATTATTTTGGGATGTACAAGAGACACATCCTGTGGAGCGATGAGGTATCTACTTGACTTTCCAACAATGAACCAAAGGTTCAGGATGTGGAGGGCTCGGGCATACCTTAAAATATGTGCTGATAAGAAACACCCACTGCATCAAGCGCTTTTCAGTGAAAAGGGTGACAGACTGAAGAGGGGAAAATCGTGGCTAGGTCGGGCAGAAGATGTTATTAGGCAAATATGCAGCCTAACCGACATCATACCTTGTGCAGAATGGATACCTGTGCCTCAGGCGTTAATTTGTACATTTTCCTGTATTGTCACACTCAACAACCAATGTAGAGAAGAGAATCCTATTGCTGTTAATGCAGAGGTAAACGCTCTCATCAGTGAAAACTCAGACGAAGCAGATGCACTAATCTATACAGACGGATCCGTTATACGCCAAAAAGAAGCGCATGGGCATTAACAGCACGCTCAGCGGGCAGAACAGTCAAAGAAGCCAATGGCGCCTTCTCCATGACAACCAGCAGCAGCATGACGATGGAGGTGATGGCAGTGACGCAAGCGTTTGCCTGGCTTGAAACACAAAAATACACCCGCGTATGTAAGTCAGTGATTCAATGAGTATGATCCGGAGGGTTCAGGCAGGTTCAGTGCGAAGACAATGGCTTGAATCATTACAGAAGTCCACTGTGCGTGGAGTCACCTTTATTTTTGTTCCGGGACACGCAGGCGTCGATGGGAATGAAAGAGCTGACAGGTTGGCTGGATCCACTATCACTACCGACGGTCAGCCTATGGACCATGCTGATATTATCAATGCCCTCAGAGAAATGGGAAGAATAGAGGACTTTGATGGCAGTGAATCCACCTCACTCGCCAGAATGGCAGACTTTGGAATTAAGATCGGCACAGCAAAAAACGAGACGCACACCAGACACGCCAGAAGACTTGTTAATCAACATAGAACTGGTACTATTAGCCATCATACATTGGGGATTATACTGAGGGGAGGATCTGAGCACCTATGGACATGTCCGGAGTGCAATGATGATAACCCAACTAACTAACTAAATGTTGATATACGTGATTTATTAATTCTATACCCAGAAACCATGAATTCTTAACCGTTTGGCTCGGTACTATGGATGGATAGTCGATACACGTGATTTTTTTATTTTATATCCAGAAACCATGAATTCTTAACCCTTTGGCTCGGTACTATGGATAGTTGATATACGGGATTTTTTAAATTTTATATCCAGAAACCATGAATTATTAACCGTTTGGCTCGGTACTATGGATATCGCAACCCTTCGGCCTTGATTCCATGATAGATACCGTAAATCTGAGAAAAATATGTCTTTTCTGCCTACTCCGAGCGTGAATCTGGACCACAAAGAGTTCGTCACCCGGTCACCGCGAAGTCAGGTTAAGCCAACTACGCTAGAGAGCCGGGCTGATATTCGGGATACAAAATATTCACTTGAAGTGTGACTGTATTCTGTTCTAAGGAATGTGTCTTTTAAATTGGCTACCAGCATCTGTCTTAGGAAACTCAAAGCGTCCCAATGTGGGAGCCTCAAGTGGCTTGAATTCCCTTGTTCCGACGCGCCCGACAGGCATGGTGTTGATTATGCAAACCAGTGACTGCAGATTGTTTATCATCATCATCATCATCATCATCATCATCATCATCATCATCATCATCATCATCATCAACTTTAACTTTTGCCCTTAAGCGCCACGCGGGAGGAACAGTTTGCGATCCATGGCTTGACGGGTAGCAATGGCTACTTTCATTCTGCGTCGATTTAGAAGGTCATTTAATGTCGAAGATTAGTGTTCTCCTAGGGCGACCTCTTGCTTTCACATGACATCTTTTGTATGTGTAGGGCCTGTGTTGGTAGTTGTCCTGACGCATTATAATGCGATGACCAAGCCATCTGATCTGTGCCTCAAATAATTACGGGAATGATCGGCTTTCAGATGTATCTCATTGAAGAGATGTTACTTTTACTTTGATAATGTCCAAGTTTGGGACTTGCAGTACATTTTTGGTATGAGTGTGCTGTTTACAATCTATTTTTAGGAGTCATATTTATATTTGAATGTCTTAATAACGGCATCAGTTGGTGTACAAGTGCATTAGCTCGCTAACATCTGGTTTCCACTTCGTGATTTATTCTCTCGTTATCCGAGAATATACTTCCTAGATATTTAAATTCTTCAACTTGCTCCAGAGCAAGTACTATTCAACATGCCAGGTAGCGGACTAGGAATTATATTGACCTGAATTACTTCAGTTTAAGTGGTATTTATTTTCATGCTATATCTTCTATTTCCCTCACAGTAGAACAGGCACTATATCTATTTCTTTATTTCTCTGCTTAATGCTGTTACGAATCCTAGGCACGGCTAATAATCGGTTTTCAGGATAGTGCGAGCTCGTTAGCTTGTTGCCTTGTAATATTGTTGAGTTTCAGCAAGTTGTTAATTCAGTCCATCCATTTTCTTCTTCTCCCTCCTCTGCCTCTTGATGTTTACATTCTAATATCGTATGCTCTTGCAACCAGTGACGCTGGGCTCATTCTCACCAGGTTACCAAACCAGTTTAGTATTTATTGTTCAGTAAATCTAATTACAGGTGTTGTTGACACCATTCTAATGATATCGTCGTTTATTTGATACTATCTTCTTGTTTTGTTGACTGCTTTTCTCAAACATCTCATTTCACACATTATTAGTTACCTCTCTTGTTCTTTTGTTAATACACAGGTTTGGCATTGATGACACAATGTTGGTAAACAGATTGCGTTCACGATTTGTCTTTTAGTTTCCATTCGTATTATTGGGTGTTTCAGTGTTGGGGCATATTGATAGGTAACAACACTGTTTACTTGTTGGGTTCTGTCCGGTCTGACGTCTGACGTGAAGATACTTCCAAGATTTTTGAATTCGTCCACCTGTTTTAGTGAATGGTCGTTAATGTTTATGTGAATATTTTGATGTTCACTGTTTATGTTCAAGAATTCCGCTTTTTTTTCAGTGTTGATCTATATGTTGTCTTTGAGACAGCTATCGTGGAGTGAATTATTGTGTTTAGTTAGTTCATGAATTCCGCTTTTTTTCAGTGTTGATCTATATGTTGTCTTTAAGACAGCTATCGTGGAGTGAATTAATGTGTTTAGTTAGTTGTTCGGTTTTACTGTAGAATATGTATTGATCGTCGACACAGGCGGTTCACTTAGGTAGTTTGTTGGTTGTTAGTTGGGGCTGTTTCTTTTATTTTGGTGATAAAGTCCGACCAACCGACCGACTGATTAACTGACTGATTAACCGAGAGCCAAGCTGATGGAATTCAATCATCGCGAACAAGTGAACGACAGCATCAAGAGAAATGAAGAAAATGAAAAACACACAGAAGATCATTACCCCCCCCCCCCCCCCAACCCCACAGGCACACACTTTGACGATGAAACTTGAGGCAGAGAACGAGAAGAAGATACTATGGTGGCGATTCTTATTTCAACTTTGCCTACCTGCTTCATTCCTATTGATGTCGATCTACCAGGCATGACTGACACACCTTCATCTTCTGGAAATGGCATGGAGCCTTTCTTGTGGATAAGTACTCTAACGCCGGCTTCTGTTGCCAAATTGGCCACATAGTTTCTTTGATCCAAAAACAGTTCAAGCCGCAAACCTGAAAATCAAATACCATGATAATTATGATATGGTTTGAGGTTTCAGATATGAACAACTGATCAACATCATGGCACACGGGTAGTAACTCATAAGTGCTCCGTTCTTTCTCCTAACTTAAGTCTTAGTCCGAACAAATGCAGCACAGTGCTCTGTAGCACTGGCAATGATCCTGAAATACTTTGGGTTGATTTTTAACTCAAAATTTTTTGCACGGGCAGCACCTTTAGGCTACTCTTTTCGATTTCCAACTACCAAGGGATTTTGTACGTACGCAACAATGCATACTGAGTGTTCGATCTCAGTACCCAGAGACCAGAGGGAATTACAAGTCCACGTGAAAAAATTACAGCTCTTACCGGGGATTGAACCCGGAACCTCTAGCACTCGAGGCGGGCACCATGCCTCAAGACCACGCAGCGCCCCTAATTGTGAGGAGAAGGATAAAAGGACCATTTTCCACACCTTTAGAGGCAATGGGAATATAGGGTTAGACCTATAGTTTTATAGACCATTCGGCACATGGTGGGTGATGTGGTCAGCATCACACCGGCTGCCTTTACTTGTCAGGACTGCACCTGTTACCCACTCAAGGCTGGGTCGACCTGTGAATCAAGGTAATTTAAAAAAAAAGTCCGGTTCCTTCAGGAAGCGAACCCACGACCTTCTTATTCGCAGACGGGCGTTTAGCCTCCAACGTCACGGCGTCCATAAAGAGGATAAACACTGATTATATTGACGTTAGCGGCGTCCGTGGCTAAGGCGTTGCGAGTCCGACTAAAATGGGTACCAGGATGGGCTGTCCTGGGAAAGTAAAGACAGCCGGCGTAATGCTGACCACATTACCCACAGAGTGCTGATGGATGGTCTGTAAAAATAAGGGGCGCTCTGCCCATATGCCCGAAAGGCGTGAAAAGGGAACTTTACTTTTACTTATATTGACGTTGATAAAGATGACAATGACGTGACTGATGATGATGATGATGTTCATGATGATGATTGCAATTAAAACAGAAAGGAACTAACCGTGCTCTGGTCCCGGGAATCTGGTTTCCAGAGTTGTGTTATTCGGGGACTGCCAGTTAAAAATGTAACAATTCCCAAACTTCGGGTTGTGAAAATATGTGAAATTGCTTGTGGAAAATAAAGAAAACAGAAATACTATTACTAATTGTAACGGTACTGTAATTCTAAACATTATATGTGATGAGAATGTTATAACAGCCAGCATATAAAAACTACAAAATCCCATAGCCGCACAGGAATAAAGGGTGTACAACTTGGCACTACCTTCACTAGTATACTTATTTTAAACGTCTTTAGAGATTTAACAGGGTTACTGGATATATGCTCCTCTGGACTTTCACTCATAATGAGACCCTTGAAGTCGTTAGTTAGTTAGTTAGTTAGTTAGCTAGTTAGTTAGTTAGTTAGTTGAGATATCATCATTGTACTCCGGACATGTCACTAGGTGCCCAGATCCTCCCCTCAGTATGAACCCCAACGTCCAATGGCTAATAGTACCAGTTCTATGTTGATTAACAAGTCTTCTGGTATGTCTGCTGTGCGTCTTGTTTTTTGCTATGCCGATCTTAATTCCCAAGTCTGCCATTCTGGCGAGTGATGTGGATTCACTGCCCCCAAAGTCCTCTATCCTTCCTATTTCTCTGAATGCATTAATAATATCAGCATGATCCATAGGCGGACCGTCGATAGAGATAGCGGATCCAGCCAACATGTGAGCTCTTTCATTTCCATAGACGCCTGCGTGTCCCTAATAAAAAATAAAGGTGATTCCTTGAAGTCGTAAGAGTGGTAAAATCAAACAAACCACACATTTCCATGTGGCAGTTCAGAGGTGAAAAACATAATTATTGGGATTCTCAGCTACATTTAGAAGATCCAGAATTAGTTGCCGTGGAAAATACTTCTATAGTTGAATTCCCACCATGAAAGAGGAAATTACACGTGATTCACTAGTGAAATAGGAGATGTGATGATACGTGGAAAAGATCTTAGCAACAGTAAATGTTTGCAGTTACATAGCAACATTAGGACTTAGGAAGGTTATTATTTGGGCACTAGGGCCCCATTAGGGGTGGCGGCAAAGAAAAGACTAAATGTGCTTTATTAAGTAGTCGTAAAAAGCGGCTAAATTAAAAGACTGCCACAGTTAGCTGTGTTTTGCCAAAAAGGGCACATTTTACCGCCTTGCTTTAAACCACGATACACTGTGGGAACCGCGCTTTCTAAGGGTGAAATCAGAAGAAGACAAAAGCTAGAGAAGTTGTACACAAAACCAAAGACAGAGACAGTCACTTAGATGTTCAACTGGCTCAATGCGAGAGCGTGATAGCTTGAACAATGTACTCGTACTATACCGTGTGAGTCCTGGAGCTCCAATGCAGGGGAAATAAGAAAAGAACTACTGCCTCCCCAACAAGCTTAACTATAAAGAATATGTCTTGAAATTTAACAAGCTTACTCTAGTAAACATAGCTATAAAGAATATATATTGGAACATAACAAGTTTAGTCTAGCAAACAGGGAAATAAAGAATATATATTGGAACATAACAAGTTTACTCTAGCAAAGATGGAAATAAAGAATACATATTGGAACATAACAAGCTTACTCTAGCAAAGATGGAAATAAAGAATACATATTGGAACATAACAAGCTTACTCTAGCAAACATGGAAATAAAGAATACATATTGGAACATAACAAGCTTACTCTAGCAAACATAGCAATAAAGAATACATATTGGAACATAACAAGCTTACTCTAGCAAGAAGGGAAATAAAGAATATATATTGGAACATAACAAGCTTACTCTAGCAAACATGGCAATAAAGAATACATATTGGAACATAACAAGCTTACTCTAGCAAACATAGCAATAAAGAATACATATTGGAACATAACAAGCTTACTCTAGCAAACATGGAAATAAAGAATACATATTGGAACATAACAAGCTTACTCTAGCAAACATAGCAATAAAGAATACATATTGGAACATAACAAGCTTACTCTAGCAAACATGGAAATAAAGAATATATATTGGAACATAACAAGTTTACTCTAGCAAACATGGCAATAAAGAATACATATTGGAATATAACAAGCTTACTCAGGTAAAAACGGCGATATATTTTAGATACTGGGATATAATAGGCCTACCCTGGTAAACATGGCTACATAGACTAGATATTGGAATATAACAAGTTTACTGCGGTATAAATGGCTATATATAATAGATACTGGAATATAATAAGCTTACTCTGGTAAGCATGGCTACATAGACTAGATATTGGAGTATAACAAGCTTACTCTGGTATAAACGGCTATACATAATAGATACTGGAATATAACAAGCTTACTCCGGTAAACATGGCTATATATAATAGATACTGGAATATAACAGGCTTACTCCGGGGAGCACTGATATCCAGCATAATCACAAGAGGCTATGAAGTTTTCCTTTCTATGTCCGGACATTTCCACCACAGACTTGTTCAGTTTTGAAGTGATATAGGCGTACGTCATTGCAGCATCGTACTCGTCATCTCTCTCTTCATAGAACCTGTTGAGTCAGGGATCAAGTTGTTTAATAACTACATACAGCATACATATATTGTATAACTAAAGTCCTTCTAAAACGATATTTGTTTGCACGGTCCGTGGTTTGAAAGCAGGGTTACCGTCCCCCCCTCCCCCCCCCCCTTTCGGAATAGTAACATGTCTTTTGGTAAGGTACGAAGAAACACCACAATGTGCACAATTTTTAATTTTTAATTACAAAAAAATAAAAAACCTTAAAATGTGTGTGTGTGTGTGTGTGTGTGTGTGTGTGTGTGTGTGTCAGCGCCTGTGGCTTAAGCGTTGCGCACGCTCTTTGTAATGCTGGGGTGCCGGGCTTGATCCCAGCAATATATATAGTTTGTTGTTTTTATATACAGAAACCATGAGTTGCTAACCCTTAGGCTCGGTACTATGGGTATGGCAACCCTTCGACCTTGATTCCATGATAGGTACCGTAAATCTTGGAGAAAATGTGGCTTTTCTGCCTACCCCCGGGAGTGAACCCGGACCACAAGGAGTTCGTCACCCGGTCACCGCGCAGTCAGGTTTAGCCAACTACGCTAGAGAGCCGGGCATATATATATATACACACAATCACAGTCTAAGTTTGGTGGCTGCCGTTGTGTAGCGGCTAGACGCTCACCTTGTGATCCAAATGTCGTCAGTTCAGGTCCCAACGGAACCGGACGCTTTAAAGAAAAAGACCTTGGCTCCAAGGTCGACCCAGCCTTAGATGGGTATCAGATACACTCCTTGGATGTAAAGGCGACCGGAGTGATGTTAACCACATAACACATCGAGTGCCGATTGGTCTGTAAAAAAAAGGTCGAGCGCTATAGCCCAGTACGCCTGCAGTAGAAGTTCTATCGTTGTCTGTAAAAGCAGTAGTTACAACAATGAAGTAGTTGCACGCGCAATTTATTGCATAAGGTAGTGCTCGTTCTAATGTAACAAACCAGTCACAATTTTTTGAATCTACAATTCACAACATAAACTTTTAAACCAGAAAATCCACTTACTGAAAAATATGTATATAACGAGTGACTCAACTGGATTATAGCACAATGTTGAGAATTTTGAATTATATGATACAAGAGAAACAAATGGGGTACTTAATTAGGTTTCCACATACAACGAGAATGATCATTAATCAACAAATCTAAAGAAAACTAATAATTCCTGACCTAGATTGTGGAGACAATTTTGATAGAATTGCCCATTTATTGAAAGTCGAATTTTGAACTATGTCTTCCATGTTGACATTTAAGTCGCTCCTGCTTGTGGGATAGTCCACCGCGGGCCGACCCTGGCGTTTGGATCTGTGGAGTGCTGTGTGAAAGACGCACAACATATTATTAAACTTACTAGGGAAGCTATGTGAGCATTTTATACATATTTAGTAAGAACATTGGCTGTACATTCTGCTTCTTTAGTATTCCGAGCCATTACGGTTCATTGCTGAAGATATCACCCGCTTCTAATCTCATCAGAGTGGTTAGCCTTCTCTTTTGAGTTGATCACTCCAAATGTTTGTTGGTCTGCCTGTACTTAATCTTTCCACCTTTCCACAATTTTCTTTGTCTGCTTCGCGGTCTACCTCAACCTATGAAATAGCTAGTTCATAGTTATAGTTTTTGGTTATAGTTACTAAAAACATCTCGCCTCGGGGTTTTTTCTACAAATATCGGTCAAGCAGGCATGTAAACTGGTCAGCAGGAATGTACACTGGCCAGGAGGCAGTAACACTGACCAGCAGACATGTACACTGACCAGCAGGAATGTACACTGGCCAGCAAGCATGTACACTGACCAGCAGACATTACACTGACCAGCAGGCATGTACACTGGCCAGCAGACAGGTACACTGGCCAGCAGACAGGTACACTGACCAGCAGACAGGTACACTGGCTAGCAGACAGGTACACTGACCAGCAGACATGAACACTGACCAGCAGACATGTACACTGACCAGCAGACATGTACACTGGCCAGCAGGCATGTACACTGGCCAGCAGACATGTACACTGGCCAGCAGACATGTACACTGGCCAGCATGCATGTAAACTGGTCAGCAGGCATGTACATTGGCCAGCAGGCATGTAAACTGGTCAGCAGGCATGTACACTAGCCAGCAGACATGTATTCTGGCCAACAGGCATGTACACTGACCAGCAGGTATGTACACTGGCCTGCAAACAGGTACATTGGCCAGCAGGCATGTACACTGGCCAGCAGGAATGTACACTGACCAGCAGGCGTGTACACTGGTCAGCAGGCGTGTACACTGGACAGCAAAAGTATACACTGGCCAGCAGGCATGTACAATAACCAGGAGACCTTCATCTAGATTGCGCACCGGTCCATCCTGTAACAATAAACAGAAAGTCAAAGTATTGATTGAGAGCCGTGTAGTGCAGTGGAAGCTCGTTTCCTTCCTGACCGGAACGTCTTGGCTTCAGACACACACTGCAGAAGGTCATTGCTAAAAAACAGACACATGTGGTTCACCCTGGAGCAGGATCCTGACCTACTACTAGGCGCTTCCACCGGGTGGCGGATTGTGGAACGGCCTCTAGATGTAAAGGTTAGCACGAATATTTTGAATAAGCGATCGTGGACCAAAAACAGGCGGTGTTCACTGAACGGAGGCAAGCTAGATGGTAGGACAGCTACTTCTATAAAATACTTTAAAACCCATGACATGGCCATCGGCGGGTAAGAGGCATCATTATAAACTCTAGCGAGTCGCCGTGGCCGAGCGGCTAGATGCTCGTCGCGTATCGGAAGGTCGTGGGTTCGCTCCCTGGCGGAGCCGGACTTTTTTCAGAAATGACCTTGGCTCCCAGGTCGACCCAGCCTTGAGTGGGTACCGTGTGCAGTTCCGGGAAAGTGAAGGCGGCCGGCGTGATACTGACCACATCACCCATCTTGTGCCGATTGGTCTATAAAAATATAGGTCTAGCCCTATATGCCCTATACACCTTAAGGCGTAGAAAAGGGTCCTTTACTTACTTTTTATAAACTCTCCCCTGTGCTGGCTTGTAGGGTATGTTTCTTTAGGCAAAGGCTATTGGAGAAACCATAAACAAACGGAACCCAAGGGGAAACCACCGCTGTATTTTTTTCCCTTGTAAATCATGCCTCTAAACCAGTCGTATTCAGAAGGTAATTGGGGATTTGGGAAGGGGGGAAGGGGGGAAAAGGAGGGGGTGGGGGGTATGGAACAATCACCACGTCTAGTAGGGAGCAGCATGTTCTACAGGTGATACCCGACCTCATCTAGCTACTGTAGAGAAAATGAATGTCAGTGTTCAGTGACATCCTAAACATTGGTACATGGAATGTCAGAACACTGGTACAAACACTGAAAATAAATAACACAGAAAATTCTTGTGGATTAATGTGAAAGAGAAGTAGACTATAAGATGTCCAGGAAGAAAAAAACAGATGCAAGTTCATTAGTGGTGTGTTCACAGATAATGAATAACTGTAAGCTCCACAAGTAAAGGGATTTGAAGAAAGAGTAAACAAGAAAGAAAGAAAAAGAAATACAGGAAATAATAATAATATTAAAAAAAAAAAAAAATACAATGAACTAGAAACAGAACACAGGAAGGAGGATAGGTAGGGAAAAAAAGAAAAAGTAGGAGACGGAACATGCGGAGGAGGAACAGATGAAAAGCCAAACCTTTGGAGTCAGCTTCAGGATCTGCATTCCCGCGATCCTTCAATTGCTTTGTCTTTAAAATCTCTAGCTCTTGACTGGCCATGTCGTCAATGAATTCTTTCTTCAAGCTGTCCCTTAAAATCTGCCAGATTGCCTTTAAATACTTAGCAACGCTTCTCTTTTTGTTCTCTTCTGACTTGACAATGTAATCCACCAGTTCATCGAACAGATCTTGTTCATCCTGTTTTGAAATTCACAAATAATATTATTTACTACTTTTGTGTCGGCAACTATGGCTTAGGCGTTGCAAACGCGCTTCGTAACGCCGGGGTGGCTGGTTAGATTCCAGCTGCAGGCGATTTGGCAGCAGATCGTTTTGCTTTGGTTTCGACAGTGGTACCGAGAGCTGACCGTTTAGGCATATATATATATGTGTGTGTGTGTGTGTCAGCATCTGTGGCTTAAGCGTTGGCAAACTAGGGTTAGTTGCGTATCCTTTACAGGACGTTGCAGAACTAACTCTAGCAGCCCCTGGCTGTTGTGTGGTTTCTCTAGGCAAATTTACGTCCAGTAGTTCCAATGGCAAACTACTGAACTTAAAATTTGCACAGAAAAACCACACCAGCCAAAAAGGCCGGGGTTGGTTCTGCAACGTCCTGTAAATAATACGCAACTAACTATTCCTACTTATATAACAAGTAAGTTGCGTATGCTTTACCTGACGTTTCATAACCAACCTCAGCATTTTTTGGCTGTGGTGGTTTTCCTGTGAAAATTTAAGTAGTTTGCCATTGCTATCTGGACAGTCGACTTCTCGATACTACTGTCGAAACCAACAGGAGGCGTAAGGCCTGCAGCTGGGATCGAACCCAGCATCCCGGAATTACGAAGAGCGTTGGCAACGCATAAGCCACAGAGGCCGACACCTATTCACACAATACTTATATAGATTTAACAAAACATAACAACAATAGAAGTGCAATTTCATACTTGCTAAATCCTACGTGAAACTTGTATTTCAGTTGTTAATTTGTGTGTGACTCAGTGTGACTATGTGTGTGTGTGAGTACGCCTCGATATTTTTACTGACCAATCAGCATAGACGGAAAATGGGGTCATTAGCATACCTTCACTAACCTGAATGTTTCATAGTATCTTTTGTTGAGTTAGATTGATGAACGAACGAACGAACATTGAGGTTAGTTGCGTATCCTGTACAGAACGTTGCAGAACCAACCCCAGCAGCCCCTGGCTGTTGAGTGGTTTATCTAGGCAAATTTACGTCCAGAGGTTTACCATTGCTTACTGTGCGGTCGGCACCCTGATACCACTGTCGAAACCAACGCAAGGCGCATGGCCCGCAGCTGGTATCGAACCCAGCACTTGGCATTACGAAGCATTCGCATCGACTTAGCCACAGAGCCAGCACCAACGAACGTACTTTAACTTTTTTAGGGTTACAAATTTGGCACGCAAGACCGTCCTATATCCGACCATTTGAAACATTAGTCTCTCACATCACAACTGTATTCCATCTAGTAACAAATTAATTCAGCAGCATTCATAACAACTGACAGGGCAGTCAACCGGTCTTATAAGAGTGCTGCAGGAGCCTCCACTGAGACCAACAACTTCCTTATATTCTTTCGTCAGTGCTTTCTTTTCTTTTTCTCTGCAACAGTTTAATAGACGAGCAGCGGTTTCACTGACTGGCTAAACTACAAGAGTGAGGTAGGTGTAATATCCGACTACAGGAAGAGGTCCAACCCTAGTACACACAGCCTGGGACGGTGAACAATGCAGAAGGAGCTACTTAGATCAATGACTTGTAAACCGAAACAGCAGATTAGGTGGCATACAAGAGACTGTTTGGGACCCCATAGAGAACACGACTAGCTTAACTGGATGAGAGTGGGACATCACCGTGTAACACCGCACAGTTAGCAGCAGAATCACTACAAGTGAAATATTTTTGGCACATTACAAGTCATCACACTCAGTTAAAACAACGCTGAAGAAAAAAGTTAAAGAAAGAACAAGAGGAAGCAACAGTACAAGTGGAAGGACAGCATCAAGAGATGGACGAAAAACAATCTGAGAGAGAGTGTACAAGCAAGACGAGGGACACAGCGTGTTGGAGATCCGCCGCAACCAACCTTCATCGGGGAAACAGGACCTGATGAATTGAGTTGACTGGAAACATTTCATTGAACATACCTTTGAAAAGATGTCGTCTACTTCATCCATCAGACAGCGAGAAATGGCCTCTCGTTTTATTCTGGATTTAGCTGTTGTTGATGGAGATAAACTAGATGTTGATGTTTCCTCCTGGGACGTAGGCGATGTATTTGAAGATGTCCCAGGCGATGTTGCCGATGGAGAACTATTGTGTGAGTCGCCTGCACGGTTATCTAGGAATAGGTAGAAAGGAACAACAAAGAGAGCTTTTCAAGAAGATAAGTATGAAGAAAGTTTGATGGCATCACAGAAACTTGCATACGCACAGACTCATACATATGCTGAGGTTTACAAAGACAACAGTTAGACACGAGCAAGTATAACAGAACTGCATAAGATAAAAAAAAAAAAAAAGGAATAGACAGGTATATTACCACTGTAGTCTACTTTTTGTAGATGTTCGAGCATTTAAGTATAGTATTTAACAGAGCTGCTGGACTGGATTCCATCCACAAAATCGAACTTAATGCACAGAATAGACCGAGATGGAGAAATAGACTGTGAGCCCTATGTGACACATTATGGCAAAATTGGACAATGAATGAATGAATAAATTAATGAATTCAACAATCAGCAAAAAATATTGAGCAGGAAGCCAACAAAGACCAATAAAACAACACAGAACTACACGCTGCCAGTTTCACCAAGGAAGGGATGTGGACTGAATGCTTTGATATGCAGTAAGGATGACATGTCGACCAACCAACCAACCAACCAACCAACCAACCAACCAACCAACCAACCAACCAACCAACCAACCAACCAACTAACTAAACCAACCAACCAACCAACCAACTAACTAAACCAACCAACCAACCAACCAACCAACCAACCAACCAACTAACTAAACCAACCAACCAACCAACCAACTAACTAAACCAACCAACCAACCAACCAACCAACCAACCAACCAACGAACTAAACCAACCAACCAACCAACCAACCAACCAACCAACCAACCAACCAACCAACCAACTAACTAAACCAACCAACCAACCAACCAACCAACCAACCAACCAACCAACTAACTAAACCAACCAACCAACCAACCAACCAACCAACCAACCAACCAACCAACCAACTAACTAAACCAACCAACCAACCAACCAACTAACTAAACCAACCAACCAACTAACTAAACCAACCAACCAACCAACCAACCAACCAACCAACCAACTAACTAAACTAAACTAAACTAACTAACCAACCAACCAACCAACCAACCAACCAACCAACCAACCAACCAACCAACCAACCAACCAACCAACCAACCAACCAACCAACCAACCAACCAACTAACTAAACGAACAAACCAACTAGTTAGCTAGCTAACTCCTCTCGTCTTTAACCTTTTGATTTCCCTTTTACCACTGCTAAACATGACAAAACAGATATAGGAACAAAGAGTAAGACACCAAAGGAAACAGTTAAAGTGAGAGAATATCGGCTTCCTTTCACCCAGTTTTAAAGCCGCATATCTTGGTAATTCTTACTATAACAACTAGCCACCTGCCAGGAGCATCACACACACACTGAAGACACTCAGTAGCTCCAGCGACGAACTAAGGGGGTTTAAGTGAATTTTACACTAGTGAAAAAAAAAAAAAACGACCCTGTCATTGAAACGCGCCAAATACTTTCAGAGACTGAGGTGAGGTCAAATATTTAATAATTTAGCCGCAGAGACAAGGGGATGAAGTTAAGGATTACATATACTAGGTCCCCTAATAAACAGGTCACCTAGGCATTTCGCGTCCTCGTCGGCTTAGAGTCCCCCCCCCCCATATATATATATATATATATATATATATATATATATATATATATATATATATATATATATATATATATATATATCACTTCTAACTTACTATGGAAGACAACAAAAACAGAAAGGTGGAAAAGGGAGGGGCCGGATACTTACAGTCTGTATTTACAACTTTTGTCGTATAGACAGGGAATGTTAGAGCTTGAGAAGTTAATACAGCACGACTAGTGCAGTCGACATGGACTGTGCATGTAAGGAATTTTATTCCCCCCCCCCCCCCCCCCCCAACAGAAAAAAAACAAACAAACAACTCAATGACCTTACCGAAGATTCAATGAGGGTCTCCCTCATAAAAATCCAGCTTTCTTAAAAGTTTGGCCAATGGCTCCTTATTTAGGGTACTTAATCTTATTAAAGCTATATCTAATTTCTTCAGATAAAAAAAAAAAAAGGAGGGGGGGGGGGCGGGGGAGGAGGTGGGGAAATCATTTCAAATAAGAATCGACTACAGCACAAAAATTTGGAAATATACTCTATGCTCTACCATACAATCTGCTACAGGTAGTCAGTTGACAAACATGAATACCTCCTTGTCTGAGTTTACCTGTGCAGTTGACATCGCCCTCCTCACAGTGTGCGGTGCCATCGCAATTATATCCGACGGTGACGCAGTTTCCAGTTCTGCACCGGATGAAAAACTCAGGACACGTATTGTCTGTGATGATGAGAAAGTACGTTAATTACAATTGTATTTTCTGTAGTAAATGGATCCTTTTCCATACCTTCAAGGGTATTCGCCTTACAGGTCTAAACCTTTATTTTATAGACAAATCGATACTCTGTAGGTTATATGGTCGACATCACGCGACTGCCTTTACTTCTCAGGATTATACCTGGTACCCACCCAAGGCTTGGTCGACCTAGGAGTCAATGTCATTTTTGAAAAAAGTCACTCTCCCTAGGACCCGAAACCACGACTTTTTGATCCATCCACTAGCTTCTATAACTCATGATTCTCGAATTTTCTGTAGTGTAATGTAAAACATCCCAGTCAAAATGGATGAGGAATTTGAAAACTGACCTGGAGATTCGAATTAGCGTAAAAATGTACTGTAGGAAATAAACGTTGTAAAGATGATGTAAAAATGACGGACGGGCAGGATATTCATTGCATCCCTCAATCCAGGGAACTCGCTAATTTCCTTTGTTTCAGGTGAATAGAAATTTAAGTACCTATATGTGGAGAAAACAATCAAACGCAGGGTCTGCTTTTTGGTACTGAATGTGTCAACAATTTGTGCGAATAATTAAAAAATAAAAATTAAAATTAAATTATAGGCTTACTGTGACAGTTTTCCTCATCTTCATGACTGGATTCCGAACAATCTCCCACTTTCCCGTCACATCTTTGGTTGATAAAGATACACTTTGGCAGGCTTTTACACTTCCACTGATACACTGGACACACGTAATCTGACAGATGTTTAATACACATATTCAGTTAATTGTTTAACAGTAATACTTTAAATGTGTGTGATCTGGTAGTTTAACTGCAGCACGTTTAACACACGCAGTTTGAAAGTGTTTAACGGTAACAATTCAATAACCGTAATAAGGTAGCGTTTAACAGTAACAATTCAACACACGCAATTTGGAAGTGTGTAACAGTAACAATTCCAACAAATATAATCTGGAAGTGTTTAACAGTATCAATTTCGACACTCAGTTTGGAAGTGTTTTACAGTAACAATTTCAACACACGCAATTTTGAAGCGTTTAACAGTAACAAGTTCAACACATGTACTTTAAAAGCGTTTAACAGTAACAGTTTCAACAAATGTGATGTGGAAGTGTTTAATAGTAAAAATTTCAACACATGTAATCAGTCAGAAGTTAAACCATAATAATTCGAACGTAATTAAACTTGAAAATTATTTTTACAGTGGCAAGTTGAGCAAACGTAATGTGGATACAGAGCAAAAGTAATCTAGATATTTCATAGTAACAATCAGAAGATTACATTTGGGAGTTATTTAAAAGTAACTATGTAAAGACATACAGGCATTTAGCTAAAACAAGCATTAAACATATAAGGGTATCAAGACTATCTTGGCGCATTGTGTTTTCTAATTTGTAATTTATGATTGAAGACAGGAGAATAGATGGACTGAAATGGTGTGAAAGATTCACCAGTGTGAGCGTCAGTGAGCTAACTAAACAAACTATCGTGAAGAGATAAAGAAAAACAAAACAAAAAAGCGCTTGAGTTGGATATGGCACACACTAAAAGAACATGTCAATACAGGCATCATCATCCCATAACACTACGTAACACCCCCATATTTTTCCGTAACACTACGTGTCGTTGGGTCACCAGTTTCTGTTGACTGTCTGATCAGCTCTCTCCACCTTTGGCGGTCAGTTGCTATGGACTTCATAGTTACATGCCTGAGGCCTGTCCAGTCAGTCAGATTCTGTAACCAGATCTTTCTTGGTCTGCCTCTACTCCTCTTTTCCTACTGAGCCCTGCAGTATTGTTTTTGAGAGGCCGTTAAATCTTATTACATGTCTATACCATTCAATTTTTTCACTTTTCAATGTAGTTGAAAGAGGTTCATAGTGGCCAATGTGCTGTATAATTATATGGCGAACCTCTTTGTTTGTATTGTGGTCTCTGTATGATATGCCAAGATGTTTTTTCTTCTGAAATTAATACTAGTATCCTTACGTCCTTTTTAGGACGTAATTTTTTGTTATTTGAAGCCCCACTCTGGCTTTTGCCAGGGGCCACAATATAGGCAGGCCATAAATATGGCCAAGTGTCTGAACGCTGTTTCTGGGACCTCTCCACGGTGATCCTCATCCACATGGTGGCACTTTGTGTCATCGGGTGTTTGTCGCTTGTGTGATGTCCTGGTGGGGTAGAAATTCATTCTTCTGAAACAACGCATTTCAAATGCTTGTATCCTCCCTTCGCGTTCAGCTGTTAGTTCTTTATAATGTTTGCTGCTTGACAAGGACTGATGTCTGGGAAATCCTAGATATGATTTATGGTCTTAAAAATAGGCTTAAAAATAGATACAAAATATTTGAAATGATTGACTTGTTTTAATTTGTAGCCTTTAACGTAACTTGGTGAAGTTAAGCCAGCTGGATTAATGGTCATTACTTTTTCCTGCTTTTATTTTAATACTTGGCGATGTTTCAAAGAGCAGATTTGCAAGCTCAGCAAGCCCTTGTTCTTCCCCGGCCACCATCGATGCCATCTGCAAACCTCAGGTTTGTTATAGTTCGACTTCCTGTACTAACTGTTCCATGATGTTGTTCTAGAGCGTTAGTCACAATTCTTTCCTGTCGGACTCCTACTGTTGTTCGGAACAAGCGCCCAGTTTGTCTGTTCAGCGTAACAGCACTGCTGGCCTTGGCATAAAGCTGTTCTGTACTACCTATGATGATTTAACCCATAATGTACTTTTTAATAGAGTCCCAGAGTGCCGCATGCCATACTCTATCAAAGGCCTTTTCGAAATCAAAAACATGGTAAAGATGTTTTTGATGCTGGTGGTATTGCTCTCATAATATGCGTAGATTAAACATCTATTCAACAGTGCTTCTTTCAGCACGGAAACCCGCTTGTTCCTCTGCTATGATCTTGTATGCATGTGACGTTAATCTGTTTAGAAGCATCTTCAGCATGACATTACTGGGATGGTTGATAAGAGTCCTATACTTTTAACATCGTTGTAAATTCCGTGTTTTAGGGATGGTAATGATGAGTGATTTGATCCAAAGAGATGGCCATTCACCAGTCTCCCAAATTGTTACAGATTTCAGTGAGGATGTCGATGACGTCTTCTCAACCCGCCTAAAAGAATCTCAGCTGGGATGTTGACAATTCCCCCAGTTTTTCCATTTGTATTTACTACTTCGTCCCGGAGAATTGGGAACCTGTCATCTTCCAGTGCTTGATTTTTGTGAAGGATGTATGACTTGCTATTTTTTTGTTCGTTATACAGACTCGGACCTATTTAGGATGTAATTTCTTTATGTAAGTAGGTTACATTCTGTGTCTTGCATGGCGTTAGTTCTTGATGTTTTTTCTCTACAGATGTTTGAAAAAATGCTAAAAGATTTGTTACTATTGTTCAATTTGTTACATTCTTATATTTCTGCGCGCTTGCTTTCTAACCAACTTTTTTTAGCCTCTCGCATGTCTTTTCTAATCTGAATATTTATCTCTCTATACTTGTCTGCTAGTTGAGGATTGTGCCTGTCTTTCTTCAGGTGCCTTCGCTGGTCACACATTTTAAGAATTTCCTGACTGACCTATGGCTGCTTTGATTTTTTGTGTATCCCAATAATTTCTTGTGTTGTTTCATTTATTATTTTGGTGAGTTCATTTGTTAGTGTTTTTTCACTGTTCATATTGTTAATTAGAGGAGCAAACTTTCCAGTAATTCTGACTCTAAAATTTTCCGCCAACACCAGATCCTTTAGTTTGTCGATGTCGTATTTCAAATGTATGGTCTTGGCACAATTTACAAGCTTGAAGTAGATTATAAAATTTTGCAGCACCAGACTGTGGTCACTTCCTATATCAGCTCTTGGTCTGGTAGTCTGGTCTGGTAGTCTTAGTTTCAGCTTCATAGCAAACGGGTCACCCCATCTTTGCTCCGCTCTTGTGCCAACGAAAAAAACACAGAATTTTTATCACAGTATTAGAATTGCAGTTCATCATTGATGGTAGCAGAAGTCGCCAACAGATCAACAGTTGCCCACGCGATCAATTTTAATCACATACGGGCACCACAACACTGCACGACAGGCATCGCGCCATTTTCTGAATCTACAATTGACACCAACACGTTGGTCACAGTCGAAAAAAACATTCCAAATGCAATCCGCAGCTCACAGGGTCACGCCATGCATTCAACTCAGAAGCTGGGCGACAAAACTATATCCAGTCTTCAAATGGAACAAAAATGCACCGGCCACCGTACGGCAGAAGCAAAAAAATTTGCCTCTGTTTTGAATAGTACCGCTGCCTAACGTCCTGTATTTGTGTGTGTACACAAAATCGTTTTAACCCTATATTCTCATCGTATACAATCAATGCAGCATCCAAATGCCATGAAACCTGCTCTTGGATAGCTCCTTGTCCTTGCTTTGCTTATCCCTTTGTTTATCCTTTGTTTATCGATACAGTATAACTAGATGTTTCTCTGCAACTCACAAGACAAAAAAGGCACCGACATAAAAACTCGCAGAAAAGACAGTTGGAGACAGATCCATGATATGAGAAAAGCGTAGAAGGAGGTACACCAGACAACAAAGATACAAAGAGGCGGCTGGCTGAGAGCATATGCGAGAAAAGAAGAGGATAAAGAAAAAGAAGAAGAAGAGGAAGAAGAAAAAGAAGAAGTAGAAGAAGAAGAAGAAAGAAGAAGAAGAAGAAGAAGATAAGGATGATGGTGATCGTGAGGATGACTGCATATCACTATTGTTGACTACAAGAGTACAGAAACGTATAACTAGATACACAAGACGTGACATGACAACCCACTGTCACAGTCGATCTCGTCATCTCCGTTCGGACAGTCGGCTTTCCCATTACAGCGACTGCTGGCGTGCAAACATCTCCCTCCGTGACACATGATCTGGTCTTTCTGGCACTGACCTAGAAAGTTTATCCATGGTTTTGAGGCGGTTAGTAAGGTTAAGACCGGTGGATGTCAACCTGGCGCCCTCCCGCCAAATAAATAAGTTTTAAGAGGGTGCCAAGCAATTTTGAAATTCAGAGCATTTTTTTTTTACTTGTTATGCTAATTTTTTTTAACTGTTATACCAACATTTTTTACTTGTTATACTAACATTTTTCAACTTGTTATATTAACATTGTTTTTACTTGTTATACTACCAATTTTTTGTATTTGTTATACTAACATTTTTTACGTTATACTAACATTTTTTATATTTGTTGTACTAAATTTTTTTTACATGTTATACTAAAATTTTTACTTGTTATACTAACATTTTTGATTGTTATACTAACATGTTTACTTGTTATACTAAAAATTTTTTACTTGTTATACTAACATGATTTTTATTTGTTACACTAAATTTTTTTACTTGTTATACTAAAATTTTTAACTTGTTACACTAACATATTTTACTTATTAGACAAACATATTTTACTTGTTATACAAACATATTTTACATGTTATACTAACACGTTTCACATGTTATACTAACACGTTTTATGTGTTATACTAACACTTTGTTTACTTGTTATACTAAAATTGTTTACTTGTTATACTAAAATTGTTTACTGGTTACACTAAAATTTTCTACTTGTTATAGAAACATATTTTACTTGTTATACAAACATATTTTACTTGCTATACAAACATATTTTACTTGTTATACTAACACGTTTTATTTGTTAGACGAACATTTTGTTTACTTGTTATACTAACATTTTTTTTTATTTGTTATACTGACATTTTACATGTTATACTAACATTTTTTACTTGATATACTAACATTTATTTTTGAATTGTTATACTAATATTTTTTACTTGTTCTGCTAATATTTTTTACTTGTTCTGCTAACATTTTTCACTTGTTCTGCTAACATTGTTTACTTGTTCTGCTTACATTTTTTACTTGTTCTGCTAACAATTTTTACTTGTTCTGCAAACATTTTTTACTTGTTCTGCTAACATTTGTTACTTGTTCTGCTATCATTTTCACTTGTTCTACTAACATTGTTTACTTGTTCTGCTAACATTTTTCACTTGTTCTGCTAACATTTTTTACTTGTTCTGCTAACATTAAAAAAAATTAATTATACAAATTTAACAGTCATAAAAACAAAACAGCGTTTTCAGCTAGATGTAGTGAGTGACCTCCGTGGCCTGTGTCCAATATTTGCCAAACATAGCAGATGTGATCAAGACAAAACACTGTTAACCACTACGTTGATGTTTGGACACTACCTATTGTTAGTGATTGTTCTGTTATTTGAGACTTTGATTTAGAAAGTAAGTAAGGATCCCCTCTCACGCCTTTAGGCGCATCGGGTATATGGGAAGAGCGCCCAAATTTTTTCAGACAATCGGCACTAGGTGGGTAATGTGGTCAGCATTATGCCGGCCTACTCCAACTTTGATTTTTGTGGATGTTTTTCTCAAAAGTGCTTAGGGTTTGTCGAATTGCCTCCTCTTTTTAATCACAATAAAATAAATGTAACTAGGTGGTTTGGGGGGCGTTGAGGTCGCCATTTATTCAGAGGATGTAACCATGAAAATGTCGAAAAATCACCTGTTGAGACCATGGGCAAAGAGTGCCTCTCGAGGATCAATTTGACCGGAAAGGGGTGGAGGGGGGGGGGGGGGGTACCCTCCCTCGTCTTTAGAAGTATGTCCTAGAAGCGAATAATTAAGGTTTTGCTGAAACTATATCCTGAAAGAACAGGCGTAGATTTCGCAGACTAGCTGTAAACCCCAAAGCAACATACCAATCGGTATTTTAAGGGCGAACATAGAGAACAATCATAGTGTTTTCTCTCTTTCTCTCCAAAACTGACGATACATCCCTTTGTCGGCGTAGGTGACTGATTAGTGGGGCAATCGGAGGTTGGGGTGAGAGTTACACAGGAGGAATGGTGTTTACTTTTAGTGGGGCAATCGGAGGTTGGGGTGAGAGTTACACAGGAGGAGTGGTGTTTACTTTTAGTGGGGCAATCGGAGGTTGGGGTGAGAGTTACACAGGAGGAGTGGTGTTTACTTTTAGTGGGGCAATCGGAGGTTGGGGTGAGAGTTACACAGGAGGAGTGGTGTTTACTTTTAGTGGGGCAATCGGAGGTTGGGGTGAGAGTTACACAGGAGGAGTGGTGTTTACTTTTAGTGGGGCAATCGGAGGTTGGGGTGAGAGTTACACAGGAGGAGTAGTGTTTACTTTTAGTGGGGCAATCGGAGGTTGGGGTGAGAGTTACACAGGAGGAGTGGTGTTTACTTTTAGTGGGGCAATCGGAGGTTGGGGTGAGAGTTACACAGGAGGAGTGGTGTTTACTTTTAGTGGGGCAATCGGAGGTTGGGGTGAGAGTTACACAGGAGGAGTGGTGTTTACTTTTAGTGGGGCAATCGGAGGTTGGGGTGAGAGTTACACAGGAGGAGTGGTGTTTACTTTTAGTGGGGCAATCGGAGGTTGGGGTGAGAGTTACACATGAGGAATGGTGTTTACTTTTAGTGGGGCAATCGGAGGTTGGGGTGAGAGTTACACAGGAGGAATGGTGTTTACTTTTAGTGGGGCAATCGGAGGTTGGGGTGAGAGTTACACAGGAGGAGTGGTGTTTACTTTTAGTGGGGCAATCGGAGGTTGGGGTGAGAGTTACACAGGAGGAGTGGTGTTTACTTTTAGTGGGGCAATCGGAGGTTGGGGTGAGAGTTACACAGGAGGAGTGGTGTTTACTTTTAGTGGGGCAATCGGAGGTTGGGGTGAGAGTTACACAGGAGGAATGTTGTTTACTTTTAGTGGGGCAATCGGAGGTTGGGGTGAGAGTTACACATGAGGAATGGTGTTTACTTTTAGTGGGGCAATCGGAGGTTGGGGTGAGAGTTACACATGAGGAATGGTGTTTACTTTTAGTGGGGCAATCGGAGGTTGGGGTGAGAGTTACACATGAGGAATAGTGTTTACTTTTAGTGGGGCAATCGGAGGTTGGGGTGAGAGTTACACAGGAGGAGTGGTGTTTACTTTTAGTGGGGCAATCGGAGGTTGGGGTGAGAGTTACACATGAGGAATGGTGTTTACTTTTAGTGGGGCAATCGGAGGTTGGGGTGAGAGTTACACATGAGGAATGGTGTTTACTTTTAGTGGGGCAATCGGAGGTTGGGGTGAGAGTTACACAGGAGGAATGGTGTTTACTTTTAGTGGGGCAATCGGAGGTTGGGGTGAGAGTTACACATGAGGAATGGTGTTTACTTTTAGTGGGGCAATCGGAGGTTGGGGTGAGAGTTACACAGGAGGAATGGTGTTTACTTTTAGTGGGGCAATCGGAGGTTGGGGTGAGAGTTACACATGAGGAATGGTGTTTACTTTTAGTGGGGCAATCGGAGGTTGGGGTGAGAGTTACACATGAGGAATGGTGTTTACTTTTAGTGGGGCAATCGGAGGTTGGGGTGAGAGTTACACAGGAGGAGTGGTGTTTACTTCGGGTGCTGTTGTGTGGGCAGGAGGGAGGCACTCAATAAAAATAAAGGGCGTGGAAGAATTAAGAAGAGGAGATAAGATGCAAATTCTAAAATTTATTTGGTACTTATTTTATCTATTATATTAAGGAGTAAACTCACAGTGATTTGTTTATTTTCCTCATTTATCGACCTCCCTTTCTGTTTATTGGATTATAGAAGGTAAATATTAAAGAATAGTGTGTTTGTGAAATAATTTAAAACAAAGGCGTTAGACCAAACCAGTCATGGAATCAATAGTTGACTCTTACCATGCTTCCATTACTAATACTGACAAACTGTTTGATGATTATGGGGTTTATTTGAAGGTGAATAATTTGGACATGCATTCAAAATCAGAAATGGCATTTGTAATGTTTTATTGTTTTCTTGCAAGGGTGCTACTATGATGTATAAGCAAACTCAGCGGTGAAGTTTATTATCCGCATTCTATTAAGGCTGAAAATTGCTTCGGTGGATTTGCGTCGATATATTCCTGAATGTTGAGGCCATAAAGTATCACACTAAACGACTAACTGATAGACTGACTGACTAATTCACTGACTGTCGGACTGACTGACTGACTGAAGGACTGACTGATAGGTTTGACACCTCTGCCTTATGCTGTTCTCCTACAGTAAAGTAAAAAAGTAAAGATCCCTTTTCACGCCTTAGGCGCATCGGGCATATGGGAAGAGCACCCATATTTTTCCAGACCAATCGGCACTGGGTGGGTAATGTGGTCAGCATTACGCCGGCCGTCTTTACTTCTCCAGCCATCCTGGTACCCATTTTGGGCTGGGCCGACCTGCGATGCCCCGTACCATGATAAAGATCCATGCAGCCAGCAGTGGGATTCGATCGCTGTACGTTGGAATTAAGAGTCGGGCTCGCAATGCCTAAGCCACGAACGCCGCGTGCTCTTCTCCTTTGAAATGGCATAAATATGTGTGTGTGTGTCTGTGTGTGTGTGTGTGTGTATACAAAATCGTTTTAACCCTATATTCTCATCGTATACAATCAATACATCACCCGAATGCCATGAAACCTGTTCATTATCGACAGTCAAGATTGTGTTAAACTACAATTCTGTCATCGCCCAATCCCTATGGGGTACTTTAAATTGTTCGTTTTGTTGCATTATAAAACCAGCTCCGAAGGAACTAAACACCCCTGTTACACGCCAAATATCTGACACTAACACGACTGTGTGACCTGGGAGTAAAGCACGGTGAAACACGCCTGTACTTTATTCGAGGCCAAGATAGGTTACATTATAACCAACTCTAATGAGAACAATTACTAGAAGTACACTGAAGTGGCTGCTGCATCGGAGGACTGAACACGCATGGGAATGCCACATAACATAACATACTGCGTTAGTTATCCAGCCTTTCTACGGAGTGTGTTTCACTGGTTGCCTGCTTGCTTGTTATAACGGCACCAGGACAGATCTGGGAGCCAAGGTCATTTCTTAAAAGACTCCGGCACCTTCCGATCTGCAGGCGAGCATCTAGCCGCTACACCGCGGCGACTCCCACTAAAACACATACCTTTGGGATATTATTACATAACATGTCTGAGTGCCAAGAAATCCAAATGTTGGATCAATGTTTGTACTAAACTTACCGTACCATTAACCCCACTTAGTGAGCTATATCTGTGCATTTTTTTAAAGAAATTAATTATACAGAAAACGACTGACATATTTATTTACTACATTCCGCACATTAATTTGTTTTATTTCTTTACTTTGTGGCACATGTAATTTTACGAAAAAAAAAAAAATTATACATGGAAGATACAATTGTGAAGATGAGGACGTTAATGCGACAATTAACAGAGCAAATTGATTAATAGGACTAGCCGACAAAGCAATGACAGGACATTTCATCAGAAACGATGAACCCGAGGGAGTAACATCGGACAAGTTAGCTTTGTGTGTGGACACAAGCTATGCTGCTAGCGACATGAGGTCATGTCTGTTGTCTTTCATCTTGATCGGTGGAGCGTTGCATAGCTTCCTGTAATTGTTGCTCTCGAAATGGACGAGAGTAAAAGGTAAACGAGATGAGATGTGCAGTGCTATCTCCAGTTGAAAGGTTTTATGGATTAGTTTCTATTAAAAGGGTTGCGTTTTAGAGGGGGGAAAACATTGTTAATATTAAAGGTAATGGGTCGTGAATCAGCGATAAGTGACTGAGAAAGAAAACCTAAGTGCTACAATTAGTTACAGATACTGCTTCAAGCGTGTGCTTAGTTCAGTCCCCTAACATGGTGGGTTACGAAATCATGTTGACATTTTTTTTAATCAAACATAAAGTGATAAACATAACTAATTGCAAAGAGAATAACAGTGAAGTAGGTAGGTAGTTGGTTGTACCACACCAGGACATCACACAAGCGATAAACACCCAGTGACACAAAGTGCCACCATGCGGATGAGGATCACCCGTGGAGAGGTCCTAGAAACCCCTTTCAGCCGTTTAGGCCATATCTATGGCTAGACCATATTTATGGACTGGCTGCAAAAAGTGAAGTACACAGACTAAAACAGGGTAGTAACCATAAATCTCCATCAATAATAAAGACATTAAAATGTAATATATTTTTGAACAACTTTGTCTATAATTAACTTCAATTATGACTGTTATATATCTCATATAGATAAGGGAGCTGGAATTGCACGGGGCAGAAAGATAAGGAGGAGGATAATGCAATTTTTGATTACCTGGATGGTTCCAGTTGTCCACTGTGGCCTGGTAGAGCATATCAAACAAGTTTGGGCTGGCGAACGTCTCCAACGGTCTGTATGGATCTTGCTTCACACTGTCCAGTCTTATAGGGTTGAGATTACATATGGTTACACTAGGAAAGTCCAAGACCCTGGATGCCTTTAAGTCCAGTTTAACCTGGTCGGGATTGGATAGAAAATACTGTCGTCCTATCACAGTCTGATGCTTTTGTGATATACTATCTGTTAGTATATATACTAGATATATACTAAGTCGTCCCCTTGTGGGATGCAATTTTTCGTTATTTGAAGCCCCACCCCGGCTTGTGCCGGGGGCCCTAAATAAAGCCGGGCCATAAATATGACCTCACGTCTGAACGCGGTTTCCGAGACATCTCTACGGGTGAACCTCATCAGCGTAGTGGCACTTTGTGTCACCGGGTGGTTATCGCTTGTGTGATGTCCTAGTGGGGTAAAAAGTCAGCCAGTCACTCTCTGTGCCGCTTCAGGGATCAACGTTTGCTATGCATATTTTCTAGCATGAGTCACAAACAGAGAGTTGCTCTAGAAGTTTCGCTTTTTTTGTTTAGCAGTGGTTCTCAACATGTGGGTAGCAATCCCTTCAGGGGTCGAACGACCATTTCACAGGGATCGCCTAAAACCACCGGAAAACTCACATTCACTAAAGTTATGACGTAGCAACAAAAATAATTTTTAAGAAACTTATCTAGCTGTTGTGGCCCTGCACATTCGGCTAGCCAGCATGGGTATGGGCGACTGCAGGGGAAGTCCGGTTGTCTGACTGATTTCCCTGGGTGATCTCACGGTACGTTTCATTTGGTTAGGTGGTGTTAGATATGATTTCCATTGTATATCCTTGTTAGGAAATGGTTTGATGGCAGGTCGCTATAAGTGAATTGTTGGCACATTGAAGCCTAACGTACATGTTAAATATTTTTCGTTTTATTTTGCCATTGTTAAGGTAATCACGCTGAGTGTATGGTGTCATTATCATATCTCTTTGTTAGCTGGAGATGATTAGCACTTCAGATTCTGGTCGAGCACATTGGTTGTTGTTAATGTATTATTTGTGAAGCTTACGTTAATTCCGTGTTCAGTTCAGTAAAATAAACAGCTGTTTAATATGATGATTATAATTCATTTGCTTGATTTAATTTAGGATATGTGGTCCGTGCACGTGGTTCGTCTAGGTGTGTGTAGCCATGTATTTAGGTTGTTTTCATGTAACTCACGATACAGACATTCTTTGTCTGGGTCTTAGTGAACTATTTTAGGATCTCTGCACAGAAGAACCCATGGCTTTTCTTTCCTTTCCTGTTTTTGCTGTTTAGCTGGAAACTATTACATTTTGTCATAATCAAAATTTGCCTTTATCTCCCCTACTTCTGTGCTTTTCCTTCCTTTTCTTCCCGCTAGCACAAATGGCGCCTAGCGTAGGGCTTCTATATTGCAATCTTTGGATATTTGTATAGTTATATGTTACAGAATTTATTTTGCAAAGGAGTCCTAGTTAGTTAGGGTAATTAGAGGGATTTATGATTTTGATTCGTTTTTGAATGGCGCCCATATGCTCTTTTTATTCACGGACATTGATTATGTGTGTAACGTAATTGAATTATTGAAATAGCGCCCACGTGTGTGGTTTCTTTATCGAAGATTTTTTCCATGTGTTAGTTAGATGTTACATCCTCTTGTTCACGGGTGAGTAGCGTCGTGGAGTGGTTTAATTTGACAAGTCTAGTAGGCTCAGATTATCCTGTGGATTCACATTTGGTTCAGAACTTGTCTAGGGGCGGCCTGTGTAGTTAATTGTGTGTAATAAGATGTTACTTAACAGTTTTGTTCCACTAGGAGTGGTCTGTGTCTATTGTTGACTAGGAGTGGTCTGTATCTATTGTTGACTAGGAGTTGTTATTGTCTTTTGTCCACAGAGTGGCTTGTTTACGTATCAATGTTTAACTATAGGTCTGTTTATATATTAGGGAGCCTTGTGTGAAGTACACCGACCGAGCCTGTAAGGCAATGAAGTTTTTTAACATTGCTGTCACCAGTCGAAACATTTTAGGCTGCGGCCGAGGTAATGTCACTCGAATTTCACTGTAGGCTTTCCCAAAGCCGGGGTATTGTGGTTAAAATGTCATTCGGAAGCTACGCGGTGTTTGCAGTGACGAGAAGATTGTCTCTCGATGGCCGAGAGGCCGAGACATTGGCAAAAGTAGTGACGTATCTGTCGATGGCCAGACGGCCGAGACAAGAGTGCGATATCTCTCTCGATGGCCTTGCGGCCGAGACAATGTCAATTTGTAGGCCTTCGGCCGAGGTAGTGACAAAAAATGCATTTTTCTATCAAGGAGCGGATCAGATGGGGTTTTTTCTACTCTGTTGGTGTCTCGGACACCAGCGCACATGCTAACGTGTTTTGATGATATCGCCATCATTGATGTAGATAGGAGGTTTAAAGTGATTTTACAGATGGTAGCTGAAACCCGAACGCAAATGTTCACTGGATATTTCATGACTACTGCCATCTTTGATGTCATTTCTTATTTAGGACTTATACGTTCCTTATCCAGTCTCCTTGGGACGAGTTATGCTTTGCTCATATGTCAATGACAGTTGTTTTTGGGTGTATGCTAACGAATGATGCTGCAAGTAACTAGTG